CACATGTTTAAAAATAGATCGGCAGCCGTTTGCCCCCACTGGGCGAAGGGATCCGATCCCCCCTCCCCATCTAACCCAGCGGCTCCGCTATAGGGGTGGCGGTCGGGTCCTTCGGTGCTCCCGGGAGGCGGAGGAGGGGGAAAAAGAGAGAGAGCGCGCGCGCAGCATCCAAATAATTCAGCATCGGGGCGAAGACTCGGGCTTGGTACAGCGGCTCTGGCTCCTGAGACCGCTGTACCAGAGCCCCGACTCATTCTCATAGCCCCAACCGGGGCCGGGGAGGCAGCCAGGTGGGCTGCCACAGGTGGGAGCTCCTGCTGGCAACCCAGGAGCCAAAGACTGGCTGGAAACCCTCGCCTTCAGCCTCATTTTTCTCCTTCGAGGTCTCGATCCCGCGCTTCTGTGCTCGGAAAAGAAGCGCCGCCCAGCTCCACCGGGGCTGACTCCTAAGGAAGGGAGCACGGGCTCGCAGTTTTCCCAGGGAAGGGGGCTCCGGACTATCCCCCCGAGGATGTGTTTCTGCCGCTGCCGCCTCCGCCGCCTCCTCCTCCCTCAGCCTTTCTGCTTGTTGCGCATTCTAATTAAAGTCTCCGGAGAGAGAGTATCGCAATTATTTAATTTAGGGGTTGAGATTTCCGTAGAGGAGGCTGTTGGGCGAAAGCCATGACAAGCTGTCATATCCTGCATGCAGAAAAGTCGAGAGATTTCTGGGCTCCTGGCAGTGAGGGACGGGCACCCCTGGGAGTCCTGTCCCTCTCTACCTGAGCAGGAGACAGCGTCCTGGGCAGGGGACAAGGTATTGCTCAGAAATGAATAATTTTGCACAGATTTCTGTGAATTTGCCATGGATTTTGTGTGTGTGTGTGTGTGTGTAGGAGAGAGGCTGCGAGACGTCGTATGAGCAGTGCAGAAATGAAGAGATGCAACATCTGTAAATCTTGGCACCTTCCTTCCCTCCTATTTCCTTCCTTCCTTTCCCTGCCAGGGAGAAACCTACCTTCCTCCTCTGATATGTGTTCATCATTCCTGTGCGGAAGTTGAAAAAGTAATTCTCAATCATGAACGTTAAAGTTAGAGTAAAGAAGGCAGGATATCAATCAACTTTAAACAAGGTAACAGACAGGACCAGCATGACAGAGGGAATCCTTTGGCCAGAAGGAAGGAGAAAGGGATATAAAAGTTGACTCTGGAAGAGGAAGCTCAGTTGAAGTGTCACAACATTTTCCTTTTATAACAAGAAATAAAACAAACAAACAAAAAAGAGTTGACAAATCTGGTGTTACACTCAAAATCATTTGCTGATTGCAGCTAAAAAAAATCTGTGAAGAGTTGAAGGAAATCCCAGACATAAAATGTGGAATCTGTCTGTTTCTAATCAGAAATGGGGTAAATTAATTTTTATTACTGAAAACAATTAAACTGCCTGTCTAGAGACATTGTGCTGTATTCACCCCTCTAGCAGATCAGCTTTCCAAGGCCAAATTGGAAGGATGGCTTGAATACAACAGGGCCTGTGGTTTTGTGTGTTAAGCTGAAGCATCAGTTCTGTGCCATTTTGCACTATGGGAACCATGCACCAAAACACACTGCATGACCTGGTCTTGTACCTACATTTTCCTAATTTCATGTTCTTTTCATTATGTTTCGAGTGGTATAATCCAGAGGAAACATATCACAACAGCTGCACATTTGTACTTCTCCCTCCACAGAAGCCTTCTGCAACAGGCTCCAGACTATGCTTCTGTACAACTCCCATCATCCCCGGGCAGCAGAGTTTGGAGACAGTGTTATAGTTCTATCCTCAAAATTGATGTTTCTAAAAATTGAGAGAGAAGGAAGCTGCAGAATAGGAATTGATTGCAAATTAAAGAAATACTGTAAAGTCATGTTCAGGAGTATGCGTAGAGAGAGAAACCATAATTCTGCCTGCATAGCTAACCCTGCTCTTGCCCCCCCATGAATTCAATTATCCCTTTTATACAGAGCCAACATGCATTCAAATTGCAAATGCATTGGATCTGGACTCATGGTTGGTACACTAAAAATAGTGTGTGCAGAAATCCTATGCATGCACATGCTTTGCTTGTGTGTAGATTCTGTGCAGAAGACACAATAAACAAATTAAGGGAATATAATCCCATTCTTCTATCTGTTCAACATGGATTACATATTCTCTGCATAGAAATTATGTTACTGATGTTCCAATTCTGCCTTGATGTGTTCCTCCTGACAAATATATTGATTGATTGATTGATTGATTGCAGGACAAAGTTCCAAAGAGAGTAATCCTAAAACAAGCTGGAATTTTTAGCATATATACATTACTGAAACAGTGACGTCTGCGTTGGCTTGGGCATGTTGTGAGAATGGCTGATGGATTCCAAAGGATCTCCTGTATGGAGAATTAGTGCAGGGAAATTGCCCCAGAGGAAGACCACAGCTGTGATACAAGGATATCTGCAAGCGGGATTTGAAGGCCTTAGGAATGGACCTCAACAGATGGGAAACCCTGACATCTGAGCATTCAGCCTGGAGGCAGGTGGTGCATCATGGCCTCTCCCACTTTGAAGAGAACCTTGTCCAGCAGGCCGAAGCAAAGAGGAAGTCACAAAAGCAGCAAAATAAGGGAGCTGGGCAGGGGGCAGATTGTATGTGTCTTCAGTGTGGAAGGGATTGTCATTCTCGAATTGGCCTCCTCAGCCACACTAGATGCTGTTCCAAGTCCTCCATACAGAGCATGTTACCATAGTCTTTCGAGACTGAAGGATGCGTAATGTTAATTTATTTGATTTCTATCCCACCCATCTAGACCAAAGGTCTACTCTGGGCAGCTGGTCTACTCTGGGCATAGAGCTTGGAAAGTTGCTTTGAAAGAGAACTGATGTAATGACACTTTAAAGCCATCTATAACTAGGCAGTGGTAGGAGCATGTGCTGGGTCCCAGAGCATTGTCCTACCACTGCCCAGTTATAGTTTCTGAATATTGTTACATTCATTTATCTAAGAAGCAACTTTCAAACCTCTGAAGCTAGAGACAACACTATTTCTTATCTCCAACCCCCAGCTATGTGAGTTCTTATTTATTTAACATAGAGAAAATGGACAGACAGCCAAACAGGAAATGTGACTCTTCAGATGTTTCAGACTAAAATTCCAGGTTCATGCCAATTCACTTCTGGAACTGCCTGTTTAGAGACACTGTGCTGTATCCACCCCTCTATGCTGAATGGCTTTGATGAGAACTGATGACCAGTGTTTTCCCACTGTTGGTACAATTATAATCAAGAACTCTAAAGAAGGTCCAGGTTAAGATAGAAAGGGTGTCTTAATCATTTTGGCTTTTGTTTTCAGTGGAACAATCCAGACACACACACTGATACGTTTACCATATTTATGACAATGGGACTCTTTAAGTATGACTCCCCCCTCCCACTTTTTGTGGCCGGAGAGCATCCCCATTATAACCCCATAATACAAGTTAGACCATGATGGTGGCTGATGCAGAGCCACACCAGATGAAATGCTGACTCCCTGTTTAGGTACAGTGTACTGCAATGAGAAAAAGATGGTATGTTTATTCTAATCAGAGCTTCCCTTCACTCATTTGGCAAATTAACTTACTTTTGTTTTGCCTACTAGGAGATGTTGACTGATGTTTTGGGCACCAGCCCTGAAAGTTGTTTACTTCCTGAAGGGATAACTTTGTAAGAACAGGAAATAAATACCTTTTGCCTAAACTGTGCAATCGGACTCTCTGCATCATGCAGGGGAGAGATCTTAGCTTAGCTTTCCCTTCTTCAAGACCAGCACGTAGTCCACTGTACCACACAGTGCTTGAGTCTCTTAAAACCCTGACCACTGAATCATTCTAAATCATCTGCTCTGCCAGAAGCTTTGGACTCAATTAGGGGGAGATTTAGAGACTAGAACACATTCAGCAAACATTCAGCATGAATCCCAGTGGTTCTGTTATTTATTATGGTTATAAAAAGGCCACACTATAGGGTTTCTCATAGCGGTCCTTATGCCAAAGTACTATGTCTCTTTGCACTAATCCTGCTTATACCACCTCCATCCTCCACTCTGGCAAAGTTCATGTCATCATTCCAAGTGTCCAAATTATTTGGCTGTAACTCAAAAAGTGACCACGCTGTATATTGTCCCCTTGCTTATTTAACTTATATGCAGAATACATCATGCAAAAGGCAGGACTGGATGAATCCCAAGCTGGAATTAAGATTGCTGGAAGAAATATCAACAACCTCTTTTATGCAGATGATACCACTCTGATGGCAGAAAGTGAGGAGGAATTAAAGAACCTTGTAATGAGAGTGAAAGAGGAGAGTGCAAAAAACGGTCTGAAGCTCAACATAAAAAAACTAAGATCATGGCCACTGGTCCCATCACCTCCTGGCAAATAGAAGAGGAAGATATGGAGGGAGTGACAGATTTTGCCTTCTTGGGCTCCCTGATCACTGCAGATGGTGACA